ATAAATTATTTGTTTTTTTTTTTATAGATAAGATAATAAATTATATAATAAGAGACAATTATTTACTTCATTTAATATTTCTTTATTTCCTTAATATTCAAATTTAAGATTTTTAACTTAAAATTTTAAATTTTTAATCACTTAAGATACTCTCATAAGATGTCAATGACGTAAGTAGTTCAGTTGTCATCTCATTTCGTTGGAAATAAGAAGTTCTTAGTTCAAATTATCTCATTTTACTGAAAGTAAGAAATCATGAGTTCGAGTCGCATGATATGTAACTAGGGTAGGATAAGAGATGAGAAATAATTATTTTTTATTATGCAATAAAGATAAATATATATATATATACTCTCATAAGGTATATAAGTTTTTTTTTTTTTTTGAATTTTATTTTTCCTTTCAAATCCCAACTCCGCAGAGGTGCAGTTGAGGCATAGACCCGCCACTAGTCCATGGGTTTGGACCTTAATGATCTGGTTCATCAAGGATCCGACAAGTCCGATTAGGCTTAAAGCCTCTAACTACACGTGTGATTTTACTACTTAATCTTAGGAGCAAGTGGGACCCTCTGACAAGAATCACAGAACGAACGGTGTATGATCATATGAAGCTGCAGATGGAACCGGACGGGAAGCCCATGGTCCTTCTCGCATAAAAGCATCGAAAGGAATTTTTTTTTTTTAGAATTTTTTTAACACGTAAGTTTAGGTGTAATTGATTTTTTTAATTTATGTAAAATTTATAATATTAAATATATTTATTTATTTAATGATACATAAAAATTATATAAAAAAAATAATTATCTCAATAATATCATCTTTTTTTTTAACATGAGTTATTAATGGGATGAAATTGTTGATTAACTAAATTAAAACATGAAATAAACTATTAAATCCAAAAATCCCCGTTCGAACAAATTTTTTTTTAATATAAAAAAGAATAAAAATACAAAGACTCTACAGATGATGACATGAGACTGGACCGCGTAAAATGCGAGACATTGCATAGAGTGTCACTCCACTTAATAATAATTATGGTGGTCAGTTTCGTATGTTACTTTTTTTTTAACAAAAAATGAAAATGAAAAAAATAGGTGACTAATAATAACTAGAGAAAGGTGAAAATCCCTTTAATCTCTCTTGTGGGTTTGATCTTTTGCGTTCTGAAGCAGAAGAGAAAATGGGAGGTTCAGTGAAGGATGTGCAGTCGAAGGGCGAGCTTGATGACCTACGTCAGAGTGGCGCACCGGTTATCTTGCACTTCTGGGCATCTTGGTGTGAAGCGTCCAAGCACATGGACACAGTCTTTTCCCATCTCTCCACTGATTTCCCTCATGCCCATTTCCTTAGGGTTCGTTCTCTTCTTCAATCCACACTTGTTTATTCATTTATTTTTGTGTTTAGTTTTATTTGTAAAAAAGCTTTTATTTTATGGGTTTGTGATTTTTTTTTTTGGTGTTGATTGGTGTTTCTAGGTAGAAGCAGAAGAACAACCTGAGATATCGGAGACATACACTGTTTCTGCTGTGCCTTATTTTGTCTTTTTCAAGGTACCCTTTATGAAAATACCCCATTTTCAATACTTGTACTATTGGCTTTCTGTTTGTTTATAGTTATGTGAAATCTCACTGATTCAAATATATCCTAGTGTAAGCAAGTAGCTGCTGCTTTCTCCTGTCAGTATAAGAAACAAAAGGGATGATTTTGTTATATGGGGACAAGTAGGAAAGTGGTAATTTTGAATATGAAACTAAGAATATGGTGACAGGACTGGATTAAAGAAACTAGGGACATGTAGATATGAAGATACGCAGTTCAAAGAACTTTTATTTACACTGGATTCTTAAAACAGAGACAAGTAGTTTTTTTAATTGTGACTGATGGGAGCACAAGCCCCATCCCAACCCCCTTGCTTTCTGGGTGGCTCAGGCTAAAGAAGTTCTAATGGCAGGGCCTTTGGGGAAGAGTGCATTGGTAAGTCTGTGTGATTGGATAGATAGCCGAATCAACTTAAGACATTCGACTGAATGTAACTTCAACTCTTGATATCTAAAATTTCCAGGCCGTAAAAATAGTATAGACCTGTCTTCTAGTTCCTTTTTTGTCATATGATTTGTCATTGTTTGGTCTTCAGATACTCTTTGAGTTTACATGTAATATAAAAAATGGATGCAGATTTGTAGTTTTGTGCATACAATAATATTTCTAGGAGATCCTGGAGTGGCATGATCTCAATAAGTGCTTTTTGTCAAAGTCTTGGACTCTTAGGGAAGTTTGGGATGGGGAAATCTATGTTGCTTTTGGCACTAGTGGAGCACAGTCTGTAAATTGTAACTTTCCATGCCTGGTCTAATCAAAAGGAGGAACTGGAGTTATGCATTGCTAGTCTCCATAAATGTAATATGATGGACTATGGGAGGGAAACATTTCATATATAAATCCTTATGTAGCAGGGATGAGGACAAAAAAATCACATATGTAGACTGCAGTCTGTCATAATCGGATAGATCAAAGGTTTCTGCTGAAGATTCAATGGAAGGGCACATATGTGCTTTCAGTATTGAAGAAGAAAATGAAGCAGCCTAGGGTGGTTGACTCAACAACAATGCAATTATACTGATTGAATTTGAGTGGGGTAGACAATAAGATGTTCTTGATGAAGTTTATCATGATTACTGCTCTTGCATCCCTTAATGCTTATCAGTTAGTTGTAAATAATTAAATAATTCAGAAAGGGATAGGTTTTTGTCTGTTATTTAGAACATTGCTTGCATGACTACTATGTTCATTGTCTCCTCAAGGTAATTTTTTCCTCTTTATTAGTTTGCCATTAATTTTTTTAATTGCCTCTAGTCTGCTACTTAAATTTCCTTTCTGTTTATTAGACATCTTTTGATCACTAATTGCAAAGTATTATCACCTTTGATCCTTCTTGTCTTAGCCTTTGTGTTTTATCTTGTTTTTCATGTCTTTCAAAAGTTTGTGACTCAGCCTTTCGAATTAGTAGTGAAATGGCTTACCTTTTTTCCATAAAAAATTATTACCTCATTTACCCCCCCCCCCCCCAAAAAAAAAAAAAGATAGAGAAAAATAGTTACGTCAATGGACTTATATTTTAAATTTTCTTTTCAGGATGGTAAGGTTGTTGATAAATTGGAGGGTGCAGATCCATCTGGTCTGGCCAACAAAGTTGCTAAGGTTGCTGGGTCAATTAACCCTGGAGAACCAGCTGCTCCTGCCAGCCTTGGAATGGCTGCAGGACCTACTATACTTGAATCAGTCAAAGAGTTGGCAAAGGAAAATGGATCTTCCCAAATGGGTAACCAAGTGCAACTTGGCCTAAGTGATGCCCAAAAAAAGCAACTGCAGCAGCTGATTGATTCTCATCCAGTCATGCTATTCATGAAAGGAAGCCCAGAAGAGCCCAAATGTGGATTTAGCAAGAAAGTTGTAGGCATTTTGAAGGATGAGAAGGTCAAATTTGGAACTTTTGATATCCTCTTGGACAATGAAGTTCGTGAGGGGCTAAAGAAATTCTCTAACTGGCCAACATTTCCTCAACTCTATTGTAAAGGTGAACTTCTCGGAGGGTGTGACATAGCAATTGCAATGCATGAGAGTGGTGAATTGAAAGAAGTTTTCAGAGATCATGGAGTTGATGCCACTGGGACAAAAGCAGGAACTGGTGGCATCTCAGAATCTACTGGCTTAAGTGCAACTCTTATCTCTCGGCTGGAGAGTTTGATTAACTCAAGCCCAGTTATGCTGTTTATGAAAGGAAAACCTGATGAAACCAAGTGTGGCTTCAGCCATAAGGTAGTTGAAATTCTTACAGAAGAGAAGGTTGATTTTGGAAGTTTTGATATACTGTCTGATGACGAAGTTCGTCAAGGGCTGAAAGTTTACTCAAATTGGTCTAGTTTCCCCCAATTATATATTAGAGGTGAACTCATTGGTGGCTCAGACATTGTATTGGAGATGCAGAAAAGTGGGGAACTTAAAAGGGTGTTGACTGAGAAAGGTATCATTAAGAAAGAAAGTCTCGAGGATCGTCTGAAGAATTTGATTACTTCTTCATCAGTGATGCTCTTCATGAAAGGTACCCCTGATGCTCCAAGATGTGGTTTCAGTTCTAAAGTTGTCAATGCACTGAAGGAGGAAGGCGTGGATTTTGGTTACTTTGATATTTTAACTGATGAAGAAGTGAGGCAAGGACTGAAAGTCTTCTCTAACTGGCCAACCTTCCCTCAACTTTATTATAAAGGTGAGCTTATTGGAGGGTGTGATATTGTACTGGAGCTGCGAAACAATGGAGAGCTGAAAGCTACCCTGTCTGAGTAGGGTAAGTTTGATTTTACAAATTCATATGCAACGAAATGTTGGCACAAGTTTTCAGCTGGATGGTTACCACCGACATTCTACTAGTTCCCAGAGCTTGCTTTGTGTCAGTCACCTTGATCTTCTTAATATGTGATAAATTTGAGCTATTCTTAGTAAGAACATGTTGGATGAAGTGGTGTTTAGATACTGCCTGAACATTTCAATCATTATACTTGGACGTGGGATGCTTCTTGCTTGATGTTTTCTTACTGTCATGAAATAAAATTCCAGTAAGACTTGCTTTTATTATAGCTTATCAATAAGACTTTAATTCATGACGGGCTGTTTGCGTGATTTAAATTTGTTGGTTTCTTGATCGCCAATGAAATAAAGTTTTGTTTATCTTCCGGTGCAATTGTTATCCCTATTGAATGACCCATCATGCATGGTAACAAAACGTAGAAAAAAATCCGTAAGCTGTACAAAATTGCCATCCCAAGTCTCACGATGATATGCTTGTTGCCACTGTTTGCTAGTTTAGGCTTATTTTGATCTAGAAATGACTATAAATAAAGGACAATGGGTATTCTTTTGCTTCTAATTTGTGAGAAACGAAAAAAAGAAATATATACGCAGAAACATCAATGAACAAGCCACTAGCCTCAAGCTAAAAAACGTTCTAGCATCAATTTCTTCATCTCAAAAGGAAAGATGTGGGTGGAGAAACAGAACATGATACATCAAGTGAAAGCAGCATGTTCAAAAATGCTAAAAGATCTTGACTCGGAGAAGGGAGCACTCTTCCGAATTTAGTTCTGCCTGGTGCTGAGTATTCGCTTCGTTTCTTCATCTTCCTCGATTTTATCAGCTTTCATGCGGTGCAAAATCTGATCCACTCCTCTACCATGTCTTATATTTGCCTTTATCAAGGCATGGTACATTTCTCTCTTCGACAGAATATTGACATTCCCTAATGCTGCCAAAAAGGTTTCTAAATCCTCAGGACCACCTTCATCACCCACCCAACTTAGAATGCTTGAAATCACCCTATGGTTGGGTTTCCATCCTTTGTTCTCTACACACAAGGAGAGGGCAGCTTTCATGCATTCAAAGGCTTTCTTCAGATCACCCTTATCTAGATAACCTGCTGCTACAACACCCCAGCTGTTAGGAGTGGTGGCCTTGCCTTTATTTGTCAAGTCCTCAAGCATTGCTTCTGCCTTCTCATGTAGACCTTTTTGAGAATAACCAATAATGACAACATTTGGTATCCGAAAATCATAGCAGTTACCTGAGGACTCCCACTCCTTCAGCACTTTCTCAGTTTCCTCAAGCTCACCAAGCTTCACAAGAGATTCCAACATAATGATAAAATCCCTGTTTATATGCCTCTTACAATCATTTTTCTGTAGACCCCATATTCTCAAGACCTCAGCCTTATTCCCTAAGCTAGCATAAAGTGATATCAACTGATTATAGCCAGATCCATCTTTTCTGTCTAGCCTTGCTTCAGATTCTTTTAGGGCATCAACTGCCTTGTTGTTAAGGCCAGCTTTTATGTAAAAATTGGCAACAACAGTGTAAGTATTCCAGTCCATGACAATGTGCAGTTGGCTCTCCATCTCTCTCAAAATTCTTTCCACTCCCTCTAGATCAGATCTAGCACCGTAGGAATTGATGCAGATTCTGTAACTGAAGTTATCAGGGGAGACTTTGTTTTCCTTCATCTCACTCAGTACACCAGGAACCTTTTCATACTGGCCAATATTTATATAGAGGCACATGATATCATTATAAGTGAGAGCTGATGAGGCAAACCCCAACTCCTTCATTTTCCACAAAAGGGAGACAGACTTGTCAGTTTGGCGTTGCCGCACATAACAATTCAGCAGGGCACCATAAGTCTTGTCAGTTTTATCTTCATCACTCAAATCATTGAAATAGCTTTCTGCAGAAAGAAATCCACGGACTCTACCAATCAGATCCAACTGCACAGCATGTCCACTTGGTAAGAAAGGACGAATTCCATTTTTATTGATCCATTCAGAAACCTGCATCCACAACATATCACATAGCAAGGTTAATGGCAAACTCCCCCATGATTAAATTGTCTGAACACTGAAATCTAACCTCCAGGAAACTCATTTCTTAGTCCAAATCCCCGTCTATAATATGATCATTTGCAAGCTACATATAGTGACAAACAATTCATGGATCTTGCTAGACTGCCGCTTAACCCCAACAACAGCCTTATTAAGTGAGCATATGTGACGGCTATACATAGGGATAGTCTAAGCAGCAGGCACAGCTAAAATGCACAACTATATTTACCTTTTTGTTTTCCAGAAAAAATGTAAAGCATTTGAACAGCAATTGAAACACATTTTCAAGTTCATTATTTTTTTAGATTTTTTTTTTAATTGAACAAAAAAAAAAGGGGCTAATTCTGACTCTTAGGTAATAAATTCTCTAACTTTAACAACATTATAACTCAATATATATATCAACACAAGAGAAAAGGCTAGTAAAAGAATTAGCAAAAACTAGAATGAAATTATTCAAGCGATAAATTTGAACAAATTATTCCCAAAAACTAAGAGGAAACTTTTCTAGAATTGAATGAATTTCCAGGTTATCCCCAAGAGCACCCGGCAAGAACGTAATAAGATGCTCACCTCAAGGGCGTGAGAAAAGCGCCTTCTCTTGCGAAGATCCTGAATGATGCGTTGAACCTCAGCGAACCGAACCCTGTTCCCATTTTTGAGCCAGTCCTCAAGCTCAGGTAGGACACTGTCTTTGTTTCCTAATGGACTGATTCTGGAATAGAGGGTGGCTTTATTGACCCTATTAGTGTAGTAAAATCTGCTGATAATCACATTTTGGATTAGGGTTTCTGAAAACAACTTCGTATAGATCATAGTTTTGGGGAGAATGACTTCTTCTTCTTCTTCTTCTTCTTCAGAGAAGAGCAAGAACAGCTTCAGGAAAACAGGAGTTTTCAGTTTCAGACTTCGCTGTAATCAGTAGTAGGGTTTAAGAGAAAACGGATCTTCAAGACTCCAACCAATTTAAAAAAAAAAAAAAAGGTGTTTACGGGCCCGAATATATGGGCCGGATTTATAGAATGGAATATCATGAGGCCTAGAAACCGGCTTTCCTTTTCTTTTTCCCTTTTTACTTTTAAGTCTATTTGTGACATTTTTGTTTTTTTATGTTTAAAGATAAGGTCTATTTGTGAGAATTGGTTGATATTGTTTGTGGAATGAAAAAAGTCTATTTTAGATCGGGCCTACATAATAAAATTATATTTTAATTTATAAATTTATTAAAATATTTTTAATTAACCTTTTTTATGTTATTTAATTAATAATATTTTACTAGTTTTAATATCAAAACTACACTATCATTATGTAATCTGACATGAAAGAAGTAAAAATCAAAGCTCTTACTAAATATACATGTTTAAGGAATTAGAGACGATTGTCTCTCATTGTGCAAAAAAAAAAAAAACCTTTCTACTTTTCAAAGTATATGATTGTTAACATACTCTTCAACATTTTGCATTGCACAATTATCTTGTCTATATAAAGAAGGGGAAAGAAAAGAAAGGCACAAAAAGGCTAGCACAACCTTGTTATTTTGTTGTTATTTTCAACATACTTAGTAATGAAATCCAA